ATTACACCACTCGTTTCCATCGTTTCGATTTCTTGATCAACCATTGGCTCCAAACTTAATGGCACTGGCCTTGGTTTACAAAAGACTGGCTTTGCGTCAACTTGTACCTCTAAATCAATCTTTGCCCCTGTATATTTACCCAACTTCCCGGAAAACATATGCTTGAACCGATTCAAAACGTGTTCTAACTGTTCACTACGATCTTCACTGATACGCTTAAGAGGTAACAATTGTAATTTGAACTCGCGCATGAAGTTTCTTCCTAACAACGGAGGTCCTCCATCTCCGATAACTGCGAAATTCACTTTTTTCGGGAAGGCGTGATAAAACGCAGCCAAAGGCATTTAGGCCCATTAGTCTCTCATCAATTTTACTGAAGACTATGGAAAAGGTGTTGCATGACTTCATCAATTCAACTTACATGTTAACGCATCCAATATCTAATTTTCAGTTTGCGTATCAATCTGGAAAATCAACAGTTACTGCTCTCCATACTTTGGTAACTAAAATCTAAAAATCACTTTCAGCTACAGAAATCGCACTTTGTTCTTTCTTGGATATTGAAGGAGCTTTTGACAACGCCATGAAGAAAAGAAACTTCGACACGCACATCGTCAACTGGATTGATACTATGCTGGCAAAAAGATGGGGCCATTGATGGGGCCAGCGAAGTCGACATGTACTCTAGACCACGGCCTGTCTGGAACGTTCCATGGAATCAGCTTAGCCAACGCAGGTGACGGTTGCTCCAGCGCACATGATTCGCATTGCCCGGCGTGTGATTCCACATCTTTGTCGATATTGGGCCACCAGATGCAACCCCTAGCAACACTCTTCATTTTGTTTATTCCAAGATGTGACGAATGAAGTACTTTTAACAGTTGGCTGCGCAATTTCGTCGGTATTACAGCTCGATAACCTCGCATGATCACGCCGTCTTCCACTGACAATTCTTCCTTGACGTTTTTGAAGTCCATAAGCTCAGACCACATGCCTTTATTTCCATCCAGTATGCATTCTCGAAGCTTTCGTAGCACTATGTCTTCGTCCGTAGCCACCTTAAGCGCAGCTCTGTCCACCAAATTCGGTTCTTGTGAACTCATGAAATTCAGGTATGAACCATCTTCCTTCCATAATTCCCATGATTCAACAGCAGCTCTTGATGGATAATCAGCTATGTTGTCTCCCGATTCCACGTACTCTAACTTGTAATCAAATCCGGAAATGAAGTTGGACCAGCGTTGCACCCGCCCTGCTGCCATCACCGGAATACCCTTCTGTGGTCCCAAGATAGATACCAACGGATTATGATCCGTTTTAATTGTGAATCGATTTCCCATCAAATAGAAGTAATATTTGTTCAAACCGTACATAATAGCCAGTCCTTCTTTGTGTGACACACTATAAGCTCTATCAGCTCCACTCAAAATTCTTGAGGCAAAAGCTATTGGTCTATCGAGACTATCGATTCTGTGTGCCAAAACTGCATAAATTCCGTCCTTTGACGCGTCACAAATTAAAACTATTTCCTTATCTGGATCAAAATGAGTGAGGGTTATGTCCTTGCAAATTTCTGCCTTAACTTTCTCAAATGCTTCTTGGCACTGATTGGTCCACTCAAACTTACAATTCTTCTTCAGCAACTGACACAGTGGTGACATCAATGTTGCTAAACCTTTCACAAACCTGCTGTAGTAATTCACCATTCCAGCGAAGGCGCGTATTTCCGACACACTACTAGGGGGTTTGGCTTCTTCTATAGCACGAATTCTGTCCTTGGTTTTTTTCTATTCCACTACCAGAGATTTCGAAGCCCAGATAGCTCACCCTGCTTTTCATAAAGCTGCACTTTTCTTTACACAAAGTCAGTCCAGAATTATCTAGTATTGTCAACACCTGCTCGAGTCTACACAAATGTTCTTCACGCGAACTACCGGATACCAACACATCATCGAGAAAATTGACCACTCCTGGGACACTAGCGAGTAGCTTTTCTAGTTCCCTTTGAACTATTCCCGACGCAGGCTTTACCCCGAACGGTAGTCTGTTCATTAAAAATACGCCTTTGTGTCGGATAGTTCGAACTGGTTGTATGCTCTGCTTAAATCCAATTTTGAAAAATATTTCGCCCCCGCCAATTTTCCCATTACCTCTTCTACCCGTGGTAAGGGATGGCGCACATCTTTTAATACTTTGTTCAACGTCACTTTATAGTCACCGCACAACCGGATTCGATTTCCATCATCCTTGAGAACGGGTACCACTAGGGTAGCCCACACTGATGAGTCACACCTGCTTATTACACCACTCGTTTCCATCGTTTCGATTTCTTGATCAACCATTGGCTCCAAACTTAATGGCACTGGCCTTGGTTTACAAAAGACTGGCTTTGCGTCAACTTGTACCTCTAAATCAATCTTTGCCCCTGTATATTTACCCAACTTCCCGGAAAACATATGCTTGAACCGATTCAAAACGTGTTCTAACTGTTCACTACGATCTTCACTGATACGCTTAAGAGGTAACAATTATAATTTGAACTCGCGCATGAAGTTTCTTCCTAACAACGGAGGTCCTCCATCTCCGATAACTGCGAAATTCACTTTTTTCGGGAAGGCGTGATAAAACGCAGCCAAAAGCATTTAGGCCCATTAGTCTCTCATCAATTTTACTGAAGACTATGGAAAAGGTGTTGCATGACTTCATCAATTCAACTTACATGTTAACGCATCCAATATCTAATTTTCAGTTTGCGTATCAATCTGGAAAATCAACAGTTACTGCTCTCTATACTATGGTAACTAAAATCTAAAAATCACTTTCAGTTAAAGAAATCGCACTTTGTTCTTTCTTGGATATTGAAGGAGCTTTTGACAACGCATCTTATTGTTCTATGGTTGACGCCATGAAGAAAAGAAACTTCGACACGCACATCGTCAACTGGATTGATACTATTAGCAAATTTGTTTATTATCCAGGTTGGAACCAGTTCCAACCCGTACGAACCCGAGCTTATTGTCAGTGCGAACCTCAACCCGAGCCAGGTTACAAAAACAAACGTTAACACACTGACGTTTGAAAGGCAACAAGCAGACCCAATCTTGATACCCGATCCAGGTTGGAACTGAATCAAAAACAAATTCGCTATATGCTTGCAAAAAGAAAAGTCACTTCTGGGCTGGGAAGCTCATCTATAACAGTAAAGGCAACGAAAGGCTGTCCTCAAGGGGGAGTCCTCTCACCACTAATGTGGTCTTTAGTTGTAGATGATCTTCTAAGAAGCCTAGAGGCGAAAGGTTTCGAAGTTGTGGGCTTTGCGGATGATATAGTCATCGTAGTTAGAGGTAAGTTTGACGCTATCATTTCAGAAAGAATGCAGCAAGCTCTAAAGTTTACCCAATCTTGGTGTATTAAGGAGGGCCTAAACATTAATCCATCAAAAGTAGTAATCGTTCCTTTCACTAGAAAGAGGAAGTTCAACCTAAAGGAGTTTAAGCTTGGAGGAAAACAGATCCATCTTAGTGAACAGGTCAAATACCTAGGAGTTATATTGGATGCCAAGTCGAATTGGAATGCTCAGATTGATTCTGTGATCAACAAAACAACCAGTGCCCTGTGGTTATGCTCCAAAACTGTTGGTAGAAAATGGGGTTTGAAACCAACAATGACAATGTGTGGTGGCCAAAAACGAAAGGGGCTACCGCACAGAGGAAGCTGGCAAAACTACAACGACTAGCATGTATTGCTATAACGGGTGCGATGCGCAGCACCCCATCAAAAGCGTTAGATGCAATTCTCAATCTACTGCCCTTACATGAATACGTGCAACTAGAAGCGGAAAGAAGTGCTCTAAGGCTCAAAAGGTCTAAAAAAAAGTCATGCATGGTGACCTGGTTGATTACCTAAGCATTTTACAATACTTCCAAAGAGGACAAGTGATGAGTATGAATGGAGACTGGATGAAACCAGAGGACAATTATGACACTTCCTTCAACGTATGTGAAATGTTGCGTTCGCATTGGGAAGTCGGTGGTCCTAGCGTTCGTCAAGGCTCAATCATATTTTTCACAGATGGCTCAAAAATTGGAACACAAACAGGTGCAGGAATCTTTGGCCCTGGGACAAATATTTCAGTAGCGATGGGACATTGTCCAGCAGTGTTTCAAGCGGAAATCGTGGCCATACTTGAATGTGTAAGTGTTTGCCTAAGTAGAAAATATAGATGTGCAAATATCTGTATTTTTTTCTGACAGTCAAGCAGCACTAAAAGCGCTTCGTGCTTACAAATGTACATCAAAGATTGTCTGGGAATGTATTCTCTTGTTGCGACAGCTGTGCAAACAGAACTCAGTAAACTTATATTGGGTTCCTGGACACTGTGGCATTGAAGGGAATGAAAGGGATTTGGATGATACCCTGTTAAGCGAAATAACCATATGATCGATAAAGAAATTATCTTAAATATAAGTATCAATCAAATTACGATTTTTAAATATATGTATCGAATTCAAACCAACTTTAAGGTATACCTTAAAGTTGGTTTGATTTCGATACATATATTTATAAAGAATCACCCCAGTATTATGGGTCACTCACAATTATGGGCCACTTCCATTTGATTAACACGCAGAACTGACTGAGTCACTATTATGTGATTAGCTGACCCATAACACTGGGGCGACTGTTGTATCCCTAATAAAATAACCATAAAAGAGAGCTTAACGACGAGTCCGGGTATGATCCAACCAATCCAAATGTGTGGGATAGTTTACCTATCCGGGATACAGTTCGTTTATGGTATTTGTTTATTAAGGAAGATCTTTGAAGAAGTTTGTCGAATGGTTGATCGGGTCTGCAGTTTGAACAAGGCATAAGCGACAAAGTTATAAGCGCATATTTTGAGGTGTTTTATGTTACTGTGTCAATGCTTGCAGATGGTCAGGAGCTTTACCCCTATTTATCATATTCATCATGTTCAACCGCAGAATTTATTCACTCACTTTTATGTGATTGCTGCCCAAACTTACAATAAATTTCACTAAATTCACAGAAAGCACACTTTTGTCTATGGATGGAGAGTGAAAACACTGAAATATACCGAAGAAGTGATACCGTTTACTGAATTTTCCCGAAGGAATCGCAAAAATGATCACACACTCCTACTCAAATCTGTCAACTTGGTGTCCTCTTTGACAGCGTAAACAAAACCAATGCTGCCAGGAATACAAATTAATTCCCACGCTCCATCCGATAACGTTTCCAAAGGGCAGCAACTAGTCAACGCACAAAAAGATAAAGCCAAACAGAAAACAAACAAAAAATGGTTTGTTGATGTGAATTTCTGTCAAAATTTCATCAGCGAAAAAGTAGCAAAGTGCCCGCAAGATCGCCAGAAAAAAAATCCGACCATGTCCGCCGTGGAACCATGCCTGACGTGCTTCCGCAAAACGGACAACTACCTTCGCATCACGGACGAAACCAACGCCGACGATGTGGAGCGGATCGTGACCACCCACTTTTGGTTTTCGGTAAGTTCAGTTTGTTTACATCGCTTGCATTCGGGATCTTAAAAGTGAACACCTTCCAATCATCAGGAGACGGAATGTGCCAGCAGCGTCCTGTGCACCAGCTGCTGGGAGAAGATTGATGACTTCCACAAGTTTTACTGCGAAGTGCGGAATGTTCACCTGGACAATCGGGCGGACGACGAACCGGTCGGGGTACAGATCAAAGTTGAACCGCTGGAAGCACCGATCAAGCGAGAAATCAACTTGGATACCAAGGAGGAAGATGATGAAGGCGAGGTGGAAGAGGTGGACAAGTTGGCTGCCAAAGCGGAACCCGTGAAGGAGGTGAAGGACGAGACGGATCTGGAACAAAAGGAAAGCGAAGAAGTGCCCGTTAAGAAGAAACGAGGTCGAAAAAGGAAGCTTCCCGAGGTGGAAGTTGAGGCAGAGCAGAAAGTAAAGCCTGCGCCAACTGTAGAGGTAACGGTCGATCCGGAAGAACAAGCTCAGTCTGATGATGACTCCGATTGGGAGCCACCGCAGGATGATGATTCTGGGGAAGAATTTGCAGTTAAACAGAAGCGATCGAAAGGGGAGAAGAAACCTAGGAAAAAGTATGCTCCACGAAAACCTCGGAAGGAGGACGAAGATCGAGCTTCAAATGGCAAGACGAAAGAAGACATTGCCAAGGAGGATGAGTTTATTCGAAGATACTGTCCGATCTATTGCGACAAGTGCAATTTTAGTTCGGATACCTTTGGGGAGCTGAAGGCTCACACAACCACGGCGCACAACTGCAATCCGATGGTGATTTGCTGTGATCACAAGTTTTACAAACGGTCATTCCTCTACCAGCATGCCCAGTATCACGAAAATCCGGACAAATTCAAATGTCAGACTTGCTCCAAGATATTCCACAGCGGGTTGGCTCTGAAGCTTCACTTGGACTATACGCACGTGAAAGACGAGGAGAGGATCTACAAATGCAATGTCTGTGAAGCGAGTTTTGCCAAAGCTTATCATCTGACGTCACACCGCTTGAAGCATACCTCGATCGCAGAAAAGCGCTTCTACTGCGTGGAGTGTGATATCGCGTTCCGTACTAACCAATCCTACCGGACACATCTGCACTCGAAGCACGGGGCAGCTGCAAAGTACGTGTGCGACATCTGTGCACGCGGGTTCCGACAGCGTTCGGATCTACTCACCCATCAGCTTTCGCACAGCGCCGAGGGTCTGGAGAAGCTCAAGATCCAGTGCGAACGATGCGGTAAGTGGATGAAGAACAAGAAATCCATCTGGACCCATCGGAAAATCTGCCAGAGTACGGGACCGGTCGCCTGCGATATCTGCGGTAAAATGGCTCCCAATCCGGAGCAACTGAAAAGCCATAAGAAATTTATGCACCAGGATCAGCGGGTTCACCAGTGCAGCTATTGTGAGAAGGCGTTCAAGAGACCGATCGATCTTAAGGTAAGCGAGATACTCTGCAATCACGAAATGACTTATTCACTACTGCTTACAGGAACACGAAACCATCCACACCGGTGAGGTGCTGTACTCGTGCCAGTTCTGCGCCAAAACGTTCAACTCGAACTCCAACCTGTACTCGCACCGCCGGAAAATGCACCCGGTAGAGTACGCCGACTGGAAGCAGGCACTGCAGATGAAAAAACAACCAGTGGAAGCGCAACCAACCAGGGTCATTGCCGCTGAAATGCACGCATGTACCAGTGCTGCTGGAGCTGCCACTGCCATTGCTATGCCAGCAGAACTTCCTCCGTTCTTGCCACCGGGTCTGATGCCCGCCGGAGTGCTTCCGTTGCTACCTACACCCGATGACGGCGGAGGCTACTCCTGAATCCCGGACGGTGCGTACCATTCCAGTAAGTAAGGTATTACTGTGTTCTTTTAAATTGATTTGGCGTGCGCAAGTTTAATGTATAAGAGCTTTCCTTATAACTTGAAGACGGAGGATTTCGTTCGTTCTAAAACTATCCCAAATTCCATTTAGAATATTGGGCCTTTAGCCATTTTGAATGTAGGGGAATTTGGTGAATGAAACCAATTTCGGCTATCCACACATAATTTTATGTTTACGAATACAGATTTCCTGATAAACTGACGCGGTTGGCCACGGTGTCGATGGATCGAGTGATATGCATTGTCCGAGTACCGGGGGACACTCTCGAATTAAGACTTTCATGCTTGTGGCACTTTTTTCTTAAATCCATCCGCCCCTAATAATATGTGTATTATCATCCAAACCATTTGAGGAATAGTTCTATCATTTGGTTTATCGTTCGGGTACGATATTTTTTATTAGAGCGTGCACTCGTCTATGGATGATTGTTCACGAGTCTCCAATACCTTTACCTATATCCTCCAGTATCATCCGTTTAATCTAATTCATCATGATTCCCAGTATGGGTGTCAGGAGCGCGCTAATTATTTTCACTGGGGCGCCAATAAAAGGTGCATTTTTTTTTTAATAAAACTGTCAAACCGACATCGGGTGCATCTCATCGTCAGCGGATTCGCGGATTTATTTATTTCACCGAAAAGATAAACAAACCGTGAGACCGAACATCAACAACGCTCAGTAGTTTTTTTCCGAAAATTTATAAGAAATCCAGATACCCGACCTTTGACAAAACCCGGAAACGATGGACGAAACCCTCTCGGATTGTTTCACCTGTATGCGAAAGACGGACAACTTCCTGCGCATCTGTGACAAAGCAAACACCGAGAACGTTGACCAGATCCTGGCCAGGCACTTTTGGTTCGATGTGAGTATTTATCGTGTGGGAAAGTTCTATATACAAATCAGGGGTAATATGTAAACTAATTTCAGAAAAAGGACTTTGAGCTGTCCACGTTATGCACCAGTTGCTGGGAGAAGATTGAAGAATTTCACAAATTTTATTGTGAGGTAGCAAGTGTCCACAAGATTGATGTTCTGCAAGACCTCGTTCAGGTGAAGCAGGAATCGAGCAAGAGGAAACGGGGATGGAAGCGTACTACAAAGGTTTCTGATGACGAAGACGAATGGAAGCCGCCCACTGATTTGATCGTTCCTGTGCCGGTGCAGGTGAAGCTCGAGGTTGCAGAACAGGACGAACCAGCGGGGGACATTTTTGCTCAGGAACATAATCAGATCAAGCAAGAGGCAGAAGGACAGCTCGATGGATCTGAGGAGGAAACTGAAAGCGAAGACGATGACGAAGATGAGGAGGAGGAATCGGACGAAGATTCAGGCAAACCGATTGCCGCAAGACGAAGGCAAGCGAAGAAGCAAGTTCGGCGAGGCCGAAGATCTACGATGGGACAGAAGGATGCATTTATCCTGACGCATCTGGAAAAGCTAGTATGCGATCAGTGCAACGAAGTGTTCAACAGCTTCATCAAGCTGGAGAAGCACTGCCGCGAAGCTCACGATTGCCCAGCGACAGTCGTTTGCTGCAACCGTCCTTACCAGAAACTGATGGGATTGTACAGTCACCTGTGCCGACACAAGAACATTTACAAACATCACTGCAAGGAGTGCGACCGGTGCTTCAAGAATAGGGACGGCCTCAATATGCACAATTTGCTACATCACACGCCGGAAGAGGAGAAAAAGTTCCGCTGCCATATGTGCGAGACGGCCTTTGCGACGGAGACGTTGCTGACGAGTCACCTCAACTGGCACGCCACGGTGGAACCGAAGAACATTGTGTGCCAGAAGTGTAACAAGTAGTAAGTATAGCAGTAGAAAAACATCGAAAACAGGTGTGATATTTTTACAAATTTTCCAGCTTCACAAATACTAAAATGCTCGAAAACCACACATTAACCCATCACCCTGAACTGATCAACCCTGAGGATTACCCCATCAGCGGCACAGATGGCACTTTCCTGATGCAGCAATCACTGGTCGGAGATGATTCTATGAAGCAGGACCCATGCGCGGAAAACGGAGCAGCAGAACAACCGGAATCGTCGATCAAAAAGTCTCAGGAGCTGGCGAAACCGGTCCGGCGTAAAACGCCCGAAGAATCGGCCAAGGAGGACGCGTTGATCCGGAAGTATTGCTCGCTAAACTGCGAGACGTGCGATTTCGTTGGGGATACATTCAGCAAGCTGGAAGTACACTACAAGAACGAGCACGACACGCGTGGTTTTGCCCTCTGTTGCAACCGGAAGTTTGGCAAGAAGAGTCGCCTGTATGAGCACGTGTGCGTTCACGAGAATCCCCACCACTTCAAGTGCCAGATTTGCGCGAAAACCTTTCAGAACAGTTTCGGTCTGTCGAACCACATGATGTGGAAGCACACGCCGGACTCGGAGAAACCGTTCCGTTGCGACGTTTGCGGTAATCGGTTCTGGAAGGATTACCTTCTGAAGCAACACATGGAATACCACTTGGCGCTGGAGGAGAAGAAGTACGCCTGCAAGGAGTGTAATCGATTGTAAGTTCCCCGTCTTTGATCAAGGATTTAAATAATACCTCGCGTTTATTCCCTACTAGCTTCGGAACCAATCTGCTGTTGAAATCGCACGAACAGACAGTGCACGGTCTCAGTGCCAGCTGGGTGTGTGACATTTGTGCCAAGGGGTTCCCGTTGAAATCGGCACTGGAATTCCACCGACAGCAGCACACCCAGGAGGGCCGGGCTGCCCAGAAGGCACAGTGCAAGCATTGCAAGCTTTGGATGAAGAACATCCGCAGCTTGCGCAGTCATCTGAAGCGCTGCAAGTCCGACCCGGTAAGCTGTGAAATCTGCGGCAAGGAGTGCTCCAACGTGTTCTCCCTGCAGGGTCACAAGAAGTTTGTCCATTCGAACACCACGGTGTATTCGTGTTCGTTCTGTGCAAAACCGTTCAAGCGGCTGCTTCGGTTGAAGGTAGGTTGTTTGCTTTTCCTGGCTTCGATTGAGAAGTGTTGACAACAGGTTGTGGCTACACTACCCCGAATGAGTGTTGATGGCGTTTGGGGAAGGGAAATTCGGGGTAATTAGCACAATCTTGACAACAATACATGTTTCAGGAACACGAAGCGGGCCACACCGGAGATTTGTTGTACAAGTGTGAGTTCTGCCCACGGACGTGCAACTCCAGCTCCAACATGTATACCCACAAGAAGGTGTCCCATCCAGAGCAGTGGGCCGAGAAGATGGCCCATAGATACCATCAGCGATAGGGAGGAACGAGTTTGATTAGTGTTGTCGTCGGTAAGTCATGATGAATTTATTCTGGAGCTTGTTGATTAATCCAATATATAGAGGGAAGATGCTAATTGTGTCGAGTAAAGTTTGGCGTTGTCGATGACAATCCTTCTTGATTTCCACCACAGAATGATCATAGTTAGAGAATGTATATCTTAAAACTTCTCTTAAGGGGGTCGACGTCGACCGGCGATTACGATTGCTGATTGCTCGTTAGTTCTTCATCATTTTTGTTAATCCTGGATCTTAAATTTCTGTGTATGGAATCTAAAACTTAACTAGATTATTTCTTTTGAAACTCATCTCGCTTAGAATGCTCTTGGAATTCATTCCGAATTGCTTTTGAGTTCCCTTGAATACTATTTACAATCCCCAAAATAGTCCCATAGATGACGATGACAGATTTACCTATACAATAGATGTGATTTTTGAGCTTGTTTGATTGATGTTTTTTAATCATGCGGGTTATATTATTTAATAAATATTATTTTCTCTGTTGTGTATCGTTGCATTAACACGTCAGCAATCAGCGTGAAATGAAGTTCGTCGTGGAAATCTAGTTTATAGTGTATATTTCGAGTTGTGAAATTAGTGCCCAATCTTCTTGTTTTCTTTATTTAACGTCGGTCTCTGTTCCGCAATCTAGTGCCAATCAAGGGCCACCCACATTAGATCCGTTTGCGTTGCGTTGACGTAAATATGACAGTTAGACAATAGATTTAGCTGTCACTTTGCCGCAACGCGTCCGATCCGGATCTAATGTGCGTGGCCCTTCACCGATGGACATCGATTGCCATCCATTGACGGCAATCGAATGTACAGGAAGGCAGCTTCCACAACTGCGTAGGATATCGCGCCCTTCAAACACATACATGGGCCGGGACCCTTCTGAAGGAAAACGTGACCAGAGATTTTTATGCCTCAGAAAAATCCCACCGACCTCGGCTAGGATTAAACCCAGACCCATTGGGGTGAGAAAGCAGTCACGCTTACCATTACACCACCGGCGCCGGCTTATTTTTTTTCTTTGGATTTGTCTTTTCAGACAGGCTAAGACCATGGCTGGTCCATCTCGCCGCTGGTAGTCAGTAATTTGCTTTGTTTCTTTAATTTAAAGATGTAGGTTTTTGATGAATGGTTGTCCGTCTTAGATGTGGATGTTGTTTTCCTTTAAGAACTTCACCACTTGTTTCAATTCTTCTTCGCAGTTTTCCGTCAGGATCATTTCTAACGGTTTCATGTAGTCCAGTACTATGTATTTGCTTCTACTTTGGTTGTATCGAGGGCAGTCGTATAGGATGTGCTTTAAGTTTTCGGTTACTTCACACCAATCACACGTATCGTGCAGTTCCCATCCCCAGCTTGCTTTTCTTTCCTTGGTCAGACTGTGTCCGCTTCTTATTCTGCTTAAGACTTTCACTTCATCTGGCTGCAACCTGAGATCCTTGCTCCATATCTTCTTGTTTGGCCGGTCCATGAGCTGGTAGTGCCATTTCCCTTTCTCCTTCGATGTTGCTTTGTACTTCCTGGTCCAATCCTCCCATATTTCTGTGCTGCTGAGTCTTAAGGCGTCTCCTACAGTTATTCCATGGTAGAATGTTTGTTTTTCTTGTGATTTGGTCACGGCAAGTTGGTCCGCTGTCTCGTTGCCTTTGATACCATTGTGGCTTGGTACCCATTGGATCTTGATCGTTCGTCCTCCAAGGTCCTGGAATTCCTTGTGGATCTCCCACAGCAGGTAATTTGCTTCGTATAGACTTTCGTTCAGCAGCATATCGCAGGCACTCCTGGAATCGGTGAATATGACCGTTTTCTTGTAGCCTTTCTCTTTCGTTACCTCTATCGCCTTCAGAATGCCGAGCAATTCAGCATTCGTAATCGTGAAGTTGATATTGATGCTTTCCGCTACGCTGGTCTCATCTGTCTCATCGAACACGGCGATTGCCGTGCCTGACGCCGTTTTTGAAGCGTCTGTATAAATTCTGTTATACTGTTTGTACAAGGTCTGGCTTGCTTCCTGGAAAAGTGCCTGCCATACTGCTGCAGGGGTGCGTTCTTTCTTGGGCCTTGCTTCCACTAACGATGTTCTAATTATCCTATCGAACTCGACTTCAGGAATGAATCGCCTTCTCTTCAACAGGGGGAACTCCCTGTCTGAAGGGTGAACTTGGAAGAGTAGGTCCACGTGCTTGTCTGTGATCTCCGTTAGAAAAGATTCGTTGCCCATTTCTCTATATAGAGTCTCTCCGACAAACTTCATCAACGGCGTTCTGTACCAAAGAGTCCTGATGAGTTCCCTTTTCGTAAGGGATTCGATCCGCTGTTCCATAGGTAGTTGGCCTGCTTCCGCCAGCATAACGTGAACTGGAGTGGTGCTGAGGAAGTTCATTGCTTTTCGCACATATGCATTTTGTTGCACTTGTAGCTTCTTCAGGTGGGTCTTTGCTGCGTTTCCGAACACTGTTGCTCCGTATTCCATCCGGCTCCTGATCAAAGCGTTTCCTATTTTTACGAGGGTTTCCGGGTTTGCTCCACTTGATTTCCTTGATAGCATTTTAAGTAGTCCGATTTTGCTCCCCGCCTTGTCTCTTACAGACTCTATGTGTTTCCTGTGCGCCAATCCTCTGTCAAGCACATACCCAAGGTACTGATGGGTGTTTACAATGTCGATTTTGACCCCACGTACAGCCACTTTGAGGCCTTCAGTCCGCTTTCTAGTGAATGGGATGATCGCTGATTTGTGACTGCTCACTTTTAGGTTTAGTTTTTCTAATCTGTCGTAAAGTTGCGGTAGGAACTTTGAGCAGGTATCTGCAGCTTCTTCCACTAAGTCTGCTGTGATGATGACAGCGAAATCGTCAGCAAATTGCACCAACTCGCAGCCATCGGATGAAAGGTCATGAAGCTCGGCCGTGTACAAGTTGAAGAGAATCGGTGAGAGGGGACAACCTTGCGGTAATCCTTCAGATACTTCGACTTCTATTGTTCCTTCCTCCGTTCTTAGTAACAGTAACCGAGATCTTAAATACTCGTGGAGCCACGAGATAATCTTGTCCGGTACTCTCAATTTTGCTAGGGTTCCAATCAGTATTGCTGAGTCGACTGAGTCGTACGCCATGCTCACATCCAGAAAAATCACAAAAGCTTCTTTGTGCTCCTCCTTTGCTTTGTGTATCGAGTTTACCACGTAATTGATGCAAGTAGACGCCGAGACATGCTTCCGGAAACCAAAGGACAGTTCGGGGATCAAGTCCTTTATGGTTGCGATTTCTGCCAACCTGTTCTTGATTGCAGAGTTTATCAGCTTGATTTCGATGTTCATCAAGGCAATTGGTCTCATGCTGTTAAGGGAGTCTGGACTGCAAGTTTTCTTCGGGATTGGCTTGATCTCGGTGTACCTCCACTGGTCCGGGATTTCCTCAGAAACAAATACTCGGCTAAGCATTTCGCAGATTTTGCTTTGCATTCCCGGATTTAATTGTTTTATCACGGCGTATGACATTCCGTTTGGTCCTGCAGCAGAATGGTTCTTCCGTTGTCGAAGGACGGATAGTATCTCCCCTTCCTTGATTGCCATCTCGTAACCTTCGAGAGAACGTTCGGTGCACACTACAGGCAGTGGAATCTCTCTGTATCTTCCTTGGAAGTAGTGGTTCATGAAGTTTATCCCCTCTTCGCGGGTGATTTCGGCTGACTTTCTATGGTTTCCCGTAAGAGCTGTGTCGATCCCCTTGACAAGATTCCACAATTGCCTTGGTGGGGTTGATTCATCGATCTTCTCGGTCAACTCCCTGACATGTCTCCGCTTGGTCTTCCTTACTTCTTTCTTGAACAGTGCCCTTTCCTTTTTCAGCCGGATGAAATTTAAGGTGGTCTTCTGTCGGTTGTACTCCCTGAGAGCTTCCCGCTTGCTTGTGTACAGTTTTGTTATCTCATCTGTCCACCAGGTTTTCAGGAAGTTTGCTTTCTTATTTTTGAAGCTAAACGACGCTTTTTCTACCGCTTCGTTGAACACTGTAACCATTTCTTCCGGGGAGTATAAGAACTGCGGCCGTATCGTGTTTAGCTGGTTAATAAGGACTTCTTTGTTGATCCGTTTTATCGTCCTTTCTACCTTGGGGATGTCACTGCTGATTTCCAGATGAATGCTCATGTGTACACTTCCGAACTCTTCCTCCTTCACTGACCAGTGTGCTTTTCTGGCGATTCCGGGGGTCACCAGCGTGACGTCAATAGCTGAATTCCTGCTTCCAGGAGGGGAGATCATTGTTGGGGATCCATCGTTTAACAGAATCAGATTTGACTCCTCGATTAAGTCGCATAGCAGTCTTCCGCGACTGCACGTAGTGAATTCCGGACTCCAGGAAATGTGATGAGCGTTGAGATCTGCACCTAGTACAGACTCTCCGTCCAATTCTTGCAGGAATGAGAAAAAGCTCGTCATCTCCTTTCTGCTCACGTCACTCGAGCCCCTCGTTGGTGGTAAGTATACTGAGAAAAGGTTTATTTGCTGGAACCCTTTTTTAATTTTTACTCCTACTGCTTCAAGCGAATCGAATTCTGGAATTTCGATGCTCTCCACAAGTATTCTATCTGCTATCAAGATTCCTACTCCTCCGTACCCGTCCGGGCGGCGACTTGAGAAAAAAGTGTGCCCTTTCAGCTTGAAATTCTCGTCCTTCTTTAGCCAAATTTCCTGTAGGAGCGCTACATCTATGTTGTTCGAGGTCATGCATGTGTAGAGTTCTTCTCTTGTTTCCGTTTGTCTGATACTTTGTATATTATGTTGCATTATTTTTAGGTTTTTATAATCCATTGTTTGATCCTGTTAGTCTATTCTGCTGCTCCGTGTTGTCTACTGTGGCGTCCTCTACAATTTTCTCCAAGTCCATGCTGACCTCAATCAACAGTTGATCCGTCTCGATCTCGGTTCTCTCCAGGCTTATGCGGGATTCCAATTTCCTTCTGAGCTCGATTATAGGGGCCAACCAGTTCCTCCCATAACAGAACCGCACGAGATCCTTCCTTATCTGTGCGAT